AGACAGTTTTGGAATTATTCTGTGCAAACACTACATAAATGTAAAGTTAAATTGCAGTAAACCTTTACCGCAGCTTTAGCAAACGACCATTATCTCCATGTCATTCCAAAACTGATAAGCTATGCGCATATGGTCAAACAGGAAGTTACGTATATGCCACACAAATTTCTCTTATCTTAACAATGTTTCGACGTTTTCACTAACTCGCCGTAATCTTTACGGAACACTTGCCGAGGAGAATTCTGCCTTCATTACAAAAATGTCATGATTTAATTTGCCATGTGTTAAAAAACAAGCAAAAGGTGTCCTCTCCGTCATCTCAAGGAGATGAATTTTCTGTAGGTTAAGCGATTTGTCTCTCGGAACGAAAGAGGGAAAGGTGATTTTGCTCTGTAATTGAAATCTATTACATTAATTGGCCACCTGGATACCTTATTCTAACGCAAAAGCAGAGAAACGGATAAGCGGCACCGGTTATGTACGAGAGTTTGTGGTGCATTAAATGAATAGAGAGCAGAGGAGAGAGGCCCGTTAGCGGTTCCTCCCACGCCGCCGGCAGGAGCGCTCGGATCGACGTCCGCTGGGGGCCGCCCGCCTGGCACCGCGTGGGCGCGGCGCGGAGGGGCGGGACGGGGCGCGGAGGGAAGCGAGCGGTCTGCGCAGAAGGAGAGCGCAGGGGCGGGGGCGGGGCCGACTGCACAGAGAGCACGCGCGAGCCGCCGCCCCTGCCCCTCCCACGGCGGAGCCTCCCACTATCGATTTCCGATGAGGGCGGTGCGGGGCGGGAGGACGGTTGGGGGCGTGTCTGCCGCCGAAACACCTGCGGTGCGCGGCGGCGGCGCGCTGTGCAGATCGGGCCGCCGAGGACAGCCTCCGCGCCTCCGAGCGCCGCGTCGCCGCCGCAGTAAGATACAGCCGCTTGTGTGACACCCTTCTGTTCCACCCCACGGCTCCGACCTGCAACCAGGTCGATGCCACCGCGTTGGTTGTCTGCCACCGAGTCGCCCTCCCCCCCCCCCCAGCCACCGCCTCGCCTCGATCGGGCGTTACCTAACGGCCGGCCTTCCGCGCAGTCCTTCCTCGTTGATTGCGACGGACGGCGTCCTCGCGTCCTCGCCGCCCTCGCGGAGTCGTTGCTTGCTCGGCGGGCGCGGGCGCTCGTTGTCTTAATCCGCGCTGAAATGTGAGGCCCCGTTTCTCTTCATCCCTCAGATAGGGCGCCCTGCATCGTGTTTGTGACCCACATCGCGTTGATTGAGACGAAGTGGCAAGCGGGTCGGGGCTGTTTGCTCGCAGTCCCTTCGCGTACGGACGCTGACCTACTTGGTTTTCACAACGTATGCTACCACTCTTTGTAGTGTACCCGTTATTTTCTAAAATTACTGGAGCATGTTTTTCTTCTTATTCTGACGAGATGGAAGATTACTGAGAGCAGAATATTCGGAAAACTTCTGTTTTTCTGAAATTCAATCCAAGTATAGAAATGTAACCCCTTTTGAGAGAAACCTTTCTGAATCGCAAAGATAATATGGACTACATATTAGGGAGTCAGTCGTTTGTAACAGAACGAAGTGTTCTTGTTAAATAATTCAAAACAACTCTCAAATTCAATAATAAGTGATTCTTAATAATGGAAAGGAATGTCATTTTCGTATGTTATACATTACTGTATTAAGAACGATATTTTATTTTTCTTAAGGAATAAATGTATTAATATTAATAAATGTATTATAAATTAAATTTTGGGGAAATTACTTTTAAATATTATTAACTTTGTTATTCGGTTGATGATCTTTCGTCCCAATATTCAAAAACTTCATGTCATTCACTTTGCACATTCATTAAACCTCATTAAAAAGATAGAAAAAGTTCGTAAAATATTAAATTCGTTTAATGAAAAACTAAGGCATCGTAGAATGTCATCAAATGATTTCTATCAATATAATCCAACATATTATTGATTTTTTATGTATTAGTAGCTGTTTTCTATATTTATAAAATAATTCTAAAATACCCAATGCAATTTTAATCTTAGTTTCTTGATGTGCATTGTATACAAGCATTTCTTGTACACTTTGCTATTTAATTTATTTATTGATTGAGTGTTTTTAGAATTGAGTTGCGTCTTTTTTTCATTTCGTTTAGTGTCTCACATTCAATGTTCCCATCGCAGTATCACCGTTTTGTCATGAAAAATGCATGCTTCATGGAAATAAGTTAGAACAACGCGCATATTTTATTTCTCGTTCAGAAAATCTCGTTGTTTGGAAACAGAGAAAACAATAAAAAGACCTTTAGAGATGGCTATGAATTATTCATTCTCGAGAATGATGCTATGATTCACGTTTCCAATAGCATCTCAGCGTGGATTTCCACGGCCTACATTTCTTCATTGCGAAACATGGGGCAAAATGTCGCCTAACACTCTGATTAAGCTTACTTCTACAATAATCTTATCATTTTTCTCACCATGTAAATTCAAGTAGAAACATATTATCGAAATACCATTTTCTTAGCTTACTTTCTAATAATACTTTGTAAGCTATTAGTACATGTTAAAACAATAACCAGCTTAGTATTAGTGCCGAAAATCGAATGGTCTCGGTCAAAGAAATGGAATGAGTTACTATGTGTGTAGATGCATCTTCCTCACCACTCTCACCAAAAACGGATTTTAGTCACTTAAAACTCTCCAAAATGTTTCTTCTTGACCGACGCATGCAAATTAATCAATTATTACATGATCCCCTCAATACCCAAGTGGTGCAACTCACGTTTTTCTTCTATCGATATATTTATGTTTTACGAGAAGCCTTATAGAAAATTTATTAGAGCATTGCTTGTTTTTTCTACAAACGTATGATTAGAAAGATTTGTTATAGATCTTTAAATATTGATTAATTGCCATTGATTATAATTTATTAATCCGCTTCTAGACATGAAGAACGGAACTAAACGGAGTTATAACACATATGATACGATTAAGGGTATGAGAAAACATGAAATACAATACATAATTCATGTTTATTATCTTCAATATAAACATTGTCATTTCGATTTATAAGCCCAATGTCTTTAATGGGCTGATACATATTGTCTTAATATAAGAGCCTTAATGTATTTATGGAACGTGATTCTCTGTACAACTTTCTCTAAGTTACGTTACCAAGAGAAACAGGTCGTCCTTTTTTTGATCCCTCCATGAAGGACGGACAACGTGCAAAATGGCATGCCCTCGGAAAGAGTTTCTTTAAAAAGAATTTTGAATGGTTCACTCATTTGGCGCCGATTGTATTTTCATGACAAACTGAAAAGTCAAACCAATTACAGGTTACACCACTTTGCCTGTCAGCAGATGATCGCCCTGCTGACAATGTAAGCACACTGTTGCTAATTAACTTACTACGAGTACTACGCCATTTGTGCTGCCACTTCCTGCACTCAAACTAATTTTAAAAATTAAGAAAAATTGGACTTGGAAACTTGGACTTATAGGGGCTTATATGTAGGATTAAGAAGAGAAAATGGTATTTACGCGTATGAATGAATGCCATTGAATGACTGTCAGTTCTGTTGAACGTCTGTCTGTCAGTTCGTTTGTCCGTTCACAATCATCAACTTTAAACTCAAGTTGTGAAGAAATGGTAAGAACTGGGAGGTTGAAACAATCATTCAGAAACAATGTAATGTTATGGGTCAAGTTTCTCTTGTTGTACTCAAATGTTAAGGTCATTCTTGACTTATTTAACACCTTTTTTCGGCAACTTTGCTGCAATGTAGACACTGTGTGTTAATGAAGGAAAAATTGCTTGTAGTTTCATTGAGTAGAATGAAAACAACTGTGATCTCAGTTTCATTTGTTTAGTGATAACGGAGAAGAAAATAATATATTCCAAAGATGCAAATTCTTACAGTCGTACTGTATGGAGTCGACGCTGTATGGAGTGAAACAAACCGCTGTATCTAAAAAAATATTTCACTTCTGAAGTCAGACCTTGGCAGAACTCCCTTCGAAGCGCCTGGGATATTCAAAATGTATTTACTTCGAGGCGGTCGCGCGGGGCATTCCCCCAAAAATAGACCACGTGACATCGCGAAACCTGTTTTGAAGAATAAAATCGAAGCGTTATTTCGAGTTGGGTTTCTTTTTTTTCCCAAGTTGAGAGAACCACACATTTCTCTCTATCTTCATATTCAGCATTATAGATTACCTGCTTTTTAATAAAGATAACTTTTGAGTAATTCTATTGACTCTTAACTCATTTGCCTGAGTTCGTCAAACATGAAACGACCTTTATCTCAAAACTGCATTAGTGTGGCGGGTTTTGATGATAATTTTTAAATATACATTAAATTAAACTTTTAATATGACAATAATATACTTTTCCCCATCTTCTGCGAATAAAATGGGGTACATTCAAAATAGGTTTGGCTTCAAGACTTTCCTTTTAGTGGTTCAATCGATCTTTTGATTCCGTATTTCAACAGAAATCAGGTAGTAAAATGGATATCCGTCGTCTTTGTCCTTTTTCTGTTGTTGCACTTACCTATACTTTACATGCACATTGTTACAATTCAAAATTTTTTTGTTCTAAAAATAACTATGTTAACGTAAATTGAGTGCTGTTTTTCGGCTTCATCGAGTCACAGTACATTAAGTTAGTATTAATAAGTTTGCTGATGAGGAAGATATCTCCTAATAATGAAATAAAAGAAGTTGTCCAGTGTGAGATATATATTTAAGCATAAGATCTTTTCGATCGCGTAGCGATCACCATCAGAGCAAAAAAATAAAATTACAGGAATATATGATGTATAAAATGAAGTATAAATTACACAAATTAATTACAAAATGTTAATATTGTATGCCAGATAAGTAAACAAACTTTCTAATAAAGAAACAAATAAAAGATGTTGTCCGGTATCAAATCGCAACATCTGAAGTTTTTATTTATATATATTTGATACCGGACTGTATCTTGCATTTATTTGCCATTAAGCGAGCTTGTCAGACATTATGTGATACTGAGTGCGCGGCGCTGCGTGTTGCAGAAGGAGCTGTTCGGCGCGAAGGCGGACGCGGCGTCGGACGCGGTACGCGAGCGCAAAATGTCGTCTTCGTCCACGGGCAGCATGAAGAACAAGTGGCTGAAGGCCTTCAAGAGCCTCAAGACCACGACGCCCGGCAACGGGCAGGCGAGCGCCGCCCCGCCGCGCGACGCCGACAAGTGAGTGGCCCCCAGCGCAGTTGCTTCAATTGGCCCCTTCTCAACTCATCAAACACGACCAGACCTGGACTCATCCGATTCGAGCCGCCCTGACCGTGCCTGGCACCGTCACCTTCATCCAGCTCCATCCGACACCCCATCCAACACCATCCAGCCCCACCCAACACCATCGAACCCCATCGAACCCCATCCGACCCCATCCGACCCCATCCGACCCCATCCGACCCCATCCGACCCCATCCGACCCCATCCTATCCCATCCGACCCCATCCTATCCCATCCGACCCCATCCTACCCCATCCGACCCCATCCTACCCCATCCTACCCCATCCGATCCCATCCTACCCCATCCGACACCATTCAACCCCATTCGACACCACCTTAAAGGCTCAAGTAATGTATTCCTCTATACTTCGATGTTTTCGTTCTCATAGCTGTCGCTAATTCATTTCCTCCCATGTTGCATCCCATTCCACTCTCTCCTCCAGATTGCTCCAGATATTACCTAGATTTGTTCATTTTTTTCTTCCATTGTGCTTGCCTCGTCTCTTTCAACATACCCCATAGCAATTCACATCGATCCATTTCATTACGTTTCTCCCCACGCACTTCCGTCGTGTTCTGTTCCGCCTCGCCCTGCCCAGACACTGTCATTTTAGCATTTTCTCACAGATTCATTCCAATTTATTTTATCTGTCTGCGTTCAATTCTACACTACTTCTTCACAATTCCTCACTAATTAATTTCTGCGGTGTTGTACCTCGACCTGTTCTGCTCTATTCGTGAATTACATCCTTCCCCGCAGAGCTCGATCTGAGCTCTATTGACATTAATAGTACAGTCATAATTTAATTCATGCTCTTCTCCTGTTTTCACCAAATTAATGTTAATTTTCATTTTACTTTCTCTTTAAACGTATGTATCACTTGATTTCTACCCTACGAATTTCATATCTTTTCATTTTAGCCTTATTTTATTGCTGCATATATTCACATTCTTGAAGTGTCTCAAATCCAACAAAACCCTTTCCAGTTATTTGCCTCCGTGTACCAGAGAGACTACTCTCTGCCTTTTCGTGAGAAGAAGTGATCCTATCGCTCTTCAACTGCCCAGAATCGTAGCGTCCTCATCGCTAAGTAATCCGTTTTCAGAACTCTCCACTCTATTTTTCTTACCTACTGACCCACTAGTCATTCGTTTCTTCCAGATATATATTTCTATCGAATTTTTTCGTTGTTCTCTGGTCGCTCACACTCGTGTCATTTACATCTTTTTTCTATTAAGCATTTCCTCTTCTACTTTCTTCCTTCTTCCTCGCTCTTTTTTCCCTATACTTTAGGTACTTTCTCAGTGCATCAGTCTTATCCCTTCTTCGTTCCTCATTTTGATTATCTCAATCTCTTTCTATCCCTTACTCACACTCTTACTTTTCTTTATGCCCACCCCATTTCCTTCCTTGGTTGTTTTTTTTTTTTTTTGCAAGTACCCAAGTGCACGAATCAGGTCACTTCTTCCCTTTCCTCCATTTTTGCAGCATTCTACACAATTCCCCATTTGCTCTTTCGCACTACTAAACCAAACCGTCTAGTCCTTTTTCCTTCTTCGAGCATCATTCTACCTCTATTTTTCTCCATTCCTCTCCCCCCTCATCTCTCACTTCTTATCGTATTGTCCTTTCCGGAGGATTTTCCCTTCCCTCTTCTCTTTTCTGTTCTGTATCTCATGCCATCTCCCTTTCCCCCACCCTGAGCCGTCCCCGCCGGCGCCGGGCGCCGCTGCCTGCGCCCTCCCCCCGAGTGAAGCCGCAAACACGGATCCGCGCGAAGCCTCTCGTGAGGCCCCTCGAAGCGCTGCACATCCGCCCGGAAGCTCCCAGCGGAGCGTTCGCCGCCGCCCTGGCGTCCCCGCCGCCCGACCAGCCGCCGCCGCCGACGCAGCCGCGGGCCGCGCGCCCGTTGGCCGCGAGCGCGTGGGCACGCGTCGTCAGGTGCGTGCCCCGACCTCCCGACCGCTGCCCGACCATTCCCGACGATCGCCAGACAACCTTGCAACCGGCAGACGACCGGCTGGCGACCGAATAACGACCGGCTGACAACGGGCTGACGACGGGCTGACGACCGGCTGCGGCCGGCTGCGGCCCTGCGGCCGCTGCCGGCCGGCTGCGGCGGCTGACGAACCGGCTGAAACGACCGGCTGACGACCGGCTGACGACCGGCTGACGACCGGCTGACGACTGGCAGACGACCGACAGACGATCAGCTGACGACCGGCAGACCACCAGCTAACGACCGGCTGACGACCGGCCGACGACCAGCAGACGACCGGCAGACGACCGGCAGACGACCGGCAGACGACCGCCCGACTTCCTCCAACGACAACTCGTTATGCCTCCCGGCCACTTATCACCCAGCGATCGTCCGACTGTAGTTCGACAATCGTCCGTACCACTGCCGCAAAACGTGTGCGCTTATGTCACCAAACGTGGAAGTGGTTATGTAATCAGCGATGTGACGTAGGAAAAGCGCGTGAGTGTGACACTGAAAAATAGCGTTCGCCCACGGAGTGTGGTGAATGGTTGCTCGCGAAACATGTTTAAAGAGAATCGACGCTGCCAGATCGTTGTGTGTCATTCGGTGGGTAAAGGAAACGAAATGTTTTCACCTGCTAGAAGATTTCATGAAACATTTATACATAGCGGAGGGCTTGCTAGAATCATCTTTTATACATAGCGTGAGGCTTGTTGGAATTTTTTGATCTAGTGCGTGTTAATTTAAGAAAAGTGTTTTTAAACCGTTTTGGTGACGTGTGGCTGCTTAGATGTTAAAATTCCGCCCACCTCTTTTTGGCTAGTACCAAGTATTGTGATTTGTCTCCACCGGATTTTATTGACCACTTGAATAAAACTTATTCATACTGATTTAATCTGGAATTAAACCACTAATTCCATTTGTGGAATGCCAAGATACTTCTAAAATGTATTGGCAAGATTTAGTATTTAGTAAAAATAAGGAACGAAACTAATAATTTGTTCCATGTTACCAACAATATGATATGAACGACTTTATCAAATGGGTTTTTGGTCCCGTACATTAAACAATTACTTTTTAACTTTTACCACGACTTACCATTCGGCTGACTTGACATCACCGACTGACTCCATTTCCTCTACTGGTGAAACTAGTTGGTTGGACCTGGCACTACTTAGCGAATTCGACTTCGCAGAGGCATTTTTCGCGTCTGTTGTCTTCACATTTATCCAAAAAACAGCCTTCTCTTATTCATATCTACTCTCACATTTGCTTATTGAGAAATGTCTATACGATTAAATGAGTAACAAATTGAATTGATTCGAAGGCTTTGCTGTGGATTCTTGTTTGCGGCTTCAGTGTTTCACTAAGAATGTCTTGTGTTCTAAAAGTAGAATGTGAAAGTTATTTTGCACTTATTGATAATTATTTATTGTTCGTATTTTCAATTAATCAAATTATTTACTTTGTATATCATTAGTTCACGGTGTAACCATACTCACTTCAAACATTGTGTGGGTGTAGATTGGTTATGGCGTGAATTTATACATGAATTTATATTTTTCGCACGTTTACATAATGTGTAGTTTTGGTCATAATGTAGAGTATGGTAAAATTAAAATTATTTGCCAATTTTAGAGAATACATTAACATTTAGTGTTTATTTGCAATAAACTGTTGAGTATGTATGATATGTATATAGGATTAAATCAGTTTCTGGCAGAGGTGCTAATGGAGATTAGTGAGAGAGCAGCATCAACAATGCTCTCTCACATATCATTCGGTAAGAAAAAAAATATTAATACAACGTAACTCAACGTAAATTTAACAAAAACCTATCTTAAACACGATAATATCTAATACTCTACTGTCGTGTTTTCCAATGGAATCTTGTATGAGAACATAAAGTTCGAAATCGTAACACATTAACGTGAAAGGCAGTAAATACCAAATTTTCATGATAACTTTAGTGTGATATGAAAAATCTAATATCCAAATAATGCAAGAATAAAAACAACTTGGCAAGTTTGAGCTAAACTGAATAATTCGATTTCAAAATTGTTCTCTTCACGACAAAAACACACATGTTAATATATAGCGCACAATAATTATTTTGCAAAAACGCAGATTTTTGGAATCATTGTGAATAACACCGAAAGTTTTACATAAGAGAACATATACACTTACGCTTTTGATTTTATGTTTACGTTATGTTTATAATTAATCATGAAGAAAGATAAACAGTGTCTAAATCATATTGGCATTTAAATTCCTTGTGTTCTCGGAGATTTATCTTAATTGTATAAGAACCTCAACTTGTGTGGTATTTTCTGTTATCGTGGCCGTCTCAGTTGGCTCATTGCATCAATTGATGTCACTGCAGCGCCTCCAACCGGGAGGTCCTAAGGTTCGAGTCCCGATGGCGGAAAGATTTTCGACACTATTGACACGACACCGAGACATATTTCGGAAAGACAGCTAGGCCGAATCCAGCCGCTCCCAAGGGAATGCCACCTTCCAAGAGAATCTCAACCTTCAAGGACATGTCAACCAAGGGAATCTAACTTCAGAGGCAATCCCACCAGCCAAGGAAATATTTACAGGCAAGGTAATCCCACCAGACAAGGGTATCTCACCCTCCAAAGGAATCCTACCAATCAAGGGCTTAAATCAGCCAATGGAATCCCAATAACAAAGGGAAATCCATCAACTAAGGGTATCCCAACTTCCGAGGGCATCCCAACTTCCGAGGGCATCCCAACTTCCGAGGGCATCCCAACTTCCGAGAGAATCCCTACTACCATGAGGTCTCACCAATAGAGCCTATCCTCTCTTCATTGGGAGGCCCTTCACCAGCTGGCCCCACGTCACCCCAACCCGCAGCGGGTCGAAGTGGCTCGCCTCGCGAGAGAGAGTGGCCCCTTTAGAGACGAGCCCCGCGGCGCCGGTTGCGAGTCGCTTTACAGCCCCACCCCTCCCCTCCCCTCCCGGAGGCGGACGTAGGCCTAAATTATTTAATGGCCTTCGCGAAAGTACAGGCATCGATCGGCGCCAAAAGCTGTCTTGACGTTCCTCCTTCCCCATTATGTAATAGAGATTGTTCATTAACAATTATTGTCTGTTTCATAGATGATCTTTCTCATCACAGCGAACAGCAATGGGTAATATAAGTCCTGATTATTATATTGAAATTTAGTCCATTCCCGTATGGACAAATAAGAGGAGACTGACACTCTCAAAATATTGCTTACACTTAAAAGCCTTGTTTGTTTTCTTCATTGTTCAAGAATAAGCATTTAGTTACAAAGAGAGGGTACCGTGTGCCGTGACGATATCAAGTAGTTCACAGACACATATAGTATCAACATTTGTGCAAGTCATTAATATTGTGAAAGAAATTATATTCGTTCAATACAAAAAATGTTGGAGATATTCCATTTTCTAGAGTTCTCTCTTAAGGTACTGGGTATTCAAACCCTTCAAATTTTATGATTTTTCTCTCTGTCGAAAGTTCGTAATTAATTACTTGTACATCTAATGATCACTCCGGATATTTACGATTTTATAGGGATCGTGCATATATGTGCCCTAAAAAAATTGTTCATTATTAAGAAAATACCAACGGTTCTTTCTAAAAAAATATTGGGGGAAAAACATGGAAAGAAAATTATAAACCCCATTTAGTGAGATTAACTTACTTGCTTTAATAGTAGGATACTTTAATACCAAAAATATAAAATATAAGTAAGGTATAATATAATATAAAAATGTAATAAATATTTTATACAAATATTTATGTACAATGTTTATAAATACAAAAACCAAATATAAAAACAATCATGATGTATTTTCGTGATAAAATCATTTATATATATTGGAAATGGTTTTAAAAACTAATGATCTCCATTAGCCACCTCTATCCATGTTAATCGTACTGAAATTGAAATTGCAGTTTGAAGTGAACGTTTTGTTATAAATAGCTCAGTATGAGTTTTTCACAGTCGAGCAGCCTTCATTAAAGCAATGGGCTCGGCGTGTTAGTTTATGTTATTTACAAT